GGCGCCCATGCAGAGTGCAGCTAGGAGAGGAGGGAGCTGGGGTGCCCATGCTCTGTGTGAAGCATTAGGTGGGGAGGTGCTGGGCTGCCTATGCAGTGGCAGGGTGGAGCCAAGGGTGGGGTGGAGGGAGCATGTCTGCAGCCTATGTTGCGTGTGGCCCTAGGCTGCCCAGGAGTTGGACAGCCCTGCCCTAAAGCATGTAGATTTATATTGTTTCTCCATATATGTATTTTTTCTGAATCCTGGGGACCAGATCTTATTCTAGCCTGCCTGAGTCCTTTTAAAACTGTTAATAGAAAAGGTGGGTGAGTCCTCCTCCTCACTGCTTTTTTGTGATTCAATCATAAAGCTAAGGTGATAGTTAAAAAAGCAGATGCCTTTATGGATTTTGGGGGTGGGTGATATTTTTGTCCTGATACCAACAAGGAAAGGTAATAAAAAAGCAAATGATCCACTTTTTCTCTGTTGACTTACCTCTGGAATGACCACTTATTAACTTACCTTTAGAATGTCCCCTCTTCTTGTTTTCCTTCTATACAAAAGTCCTAATCTTTTCAATTATTCCATGATGTTATTTTTTACTTCTCACTTTCAACCCTCTTTTGGTTCTACAGCACTATGAGGTGATCTGATATGAACATTATATGCCTTTCTCTTCTCTACCAGGTAGCTCAGTGTAAAGGGCAATCACTTAGACAGCCAAAAATAGGTTCTAAGCTACTTTCACCCAAAGAAGGTTTAAAGCTGGGTGTTTCTCAGTTATGAGCACCATTATGCAGTTCCTTCAACGGTTCTCCTTTTGAAAAAAATGGTCTGCAATCAGTCAGATGAGATTCAAAGGTAAGTGCAAATTCCTGCACTTGGGACAGAATAACTGCATGCACAAATACAGACTGGAGAGCAAGTGACTAAGATGCAGTACTACAGAGAAGCACAGGTGCACTGATACATCAGTCCATACCGTATCGTCACGGATAAAAGGAAAACTGACTTTTCGCAATCAGGGTTTTTTTGGCCAATGTGGCCGATAATGTCGCCAATAAATGCTCCATGCATGGGTATAGCTACAGCATGCATGCAGCCAGGAGTGTTGGGGGTGGGGTGGTGGGGGGCACGACTGAGGCCCCTGTGGTAAAGGGCAGAGTGGGGCTGGGACAGGCCCAGACTGGGTGGGGCATGGGATGGAGCTGTGAGTGCCTTGTCTAGGGGGCATGGGGAGGCTCCTGTCACTGTGCACACCCCCAGGGGAGACATGGGGGGCATGTGCTCCCCAGATTTGCACACAGGCTGCCACTGTGGGCTGTGGCCGGACTCTTCCTGGTGGGGGGGTTTGGTTGAGGCTGCGCTTGGGGCAGGTGGCGATGCTGGGGGGAGGGGCGCTATGGCACATCCCCCTCTCCCTGTGCCATTGCCACCTACCCTGAGCACAGCCCCAGCTCAACCCCATGCTGGGAAGAGCCCATTGCTGCCCCCAGCCCTAGCTCACAGTGGCAGTCTGCCCTCGCCCTGCAGTGGCAGAAGCCACTCCCCCTCCCCGCACTTCCTGGATGAGCGGCTTGTGGCTGTGGCCCATGCCCTGCCCTGGCTGGGCAGTGCCTGCCTCTGCCCCTCTCCCTCCCTCACCATGAGGGCCTCAATCTACCCCCTGCATGCCTTTTCCCTTGCCCCACCTCTTCCCCCTAGCAGACTTACCAGCCTGATACAATCAGCCCATACTGGCAATCAGATCGGTATCAGCTGATACAACTCATTAGTAATTGGCCATCAGTATCAGCTCCAAACAATCGGTGCACCCCTACAGAGAAGGACTGGGGGCGGGGGGTTATAATCAACCATAAGCTGAATGTAAGCCACCAGCATGCATTTGTTGCAAAACAGAGCAACAACATAATGGGCTGTATTAACAGGAGTGTCACTTGCAAATCAAGGGAAGTGAACCTTCCACTCTATTCAGCACTGGTAAGCCCTTGCCTGGAGTACCATATCCTGTTTTAGGCCCCACACTTCAAGAAAGATGTAGTCAGGCTGGAAAGAATCCAGGCCAGAGCAACAAGAATGTTTAGGGCCTTAAGAGATACAACTTAAGAGGGAAGGCTAAAGAACTAGGGTTGTTTAGTTTGGAGAAGAGATTTGATAAACATTCAAATACTTAAAGGGCAATTACAGAAAAGATGGATACGGGCTATTCTCCATAGTCATAGGGGACAGGATTAGGAGCAGCAGCTTTAAATTGCAGCAGCGGAAGTTTAGATAGGAAATTAGGAGGAACTTCCTGACTATGAGGGTCAGAAAATATTGGAACAAGTTACCTAGAGAAACTAGAATCATCCTGGAAAGTTTTCAAGAGCAGCTTAGACTTGGCTGGGATGGTTTAGTCAAGGAAGGTTCCTGCTTTGGGCAAGGGGTTGGGCTAGATCAGGAGTACTTAATTTCTGGCCCCTGTGCCAGATCTGGCCTGTGATGCTGCATTATCTAGCCCATGGGGATTCCCAAGGGTCTGGAAATTTGGCAGTGGGGGAGCTGTGCCACTGCTCCCCTGCTGTCAAATGTCCAGACTCGTAGAGAGTCCTGGGCCTTATCTGCTGGATCTGGTGCCAAATTACAACAAGCAGGGAAGAGTGGTGGTGGTGCCCACTCCTGGCATGCACGGAGCTAGGAGCGGGGACTGTGCCCTCTCCCCACCAGGAGGGGATGGAGAGAGGGCAGTGCTGGACCCCTAGGATCCAATTCTGGCACACAGGGCAGGGAGGAGGTGCTGCCAGGCCACCAGGACTCAGTCCCAGTATGTGGGGCACACATGTGGTGGTGATGGGGCTACAGGGCCCAATCTGGCCTGCAAACAAGCCCTGTGCCATTCATTTGGTGCTCAGTGCACATTTCCAGTGTACATTACCTTGCATCAATCTGTAACAGGGGTGTCAAACTTATGGCCAGTGGGCCAGATCTGTCTCACAGAGCTTGTCGAAGAGATGGAAATTTGAGGGCAGAGCCTGCTGTTGAAATCTGGGGTGCAGAGTCTAACTGATGACACGTCAGTGACAGAAGTGGGTGATAGCTGCAGTAAGCCTTCTGGTCAATTGCCCTGCTTGGATCTAGCCCATGAAGAACTCTACAGTCTGGATCTCAGCCAGGAGATTGCATGAATGTAAAACCCCTGGTCTATATGAGGGCTGTCAAATGTACAGATCATTAAGTCATGTCTTCTGGCCTATGGGTCTCAGAGAGGCCAGGGATATGGTGGCAGGGTAAGCATAGGCAGGGCTTGAAATCTTGTTTGGGATGCATATCAGTGATGGGCAGTGAGTGATAGCTGCATTATTCTCCGCATCACCACTGCTACTTCTCACTGTGATACAGTCAGACCCAGCCCACCAGAAGCCCTAGGGTACTCATCTTGCCTGTGAGGATACAAGGACAGGTGTGCTTTACACTCCTGGCCTATACTGACTTCAGTATGCCAGCATTCTGTTCATTCACTTAGCTTCCCTAGTCTTGATTAACTTCAGTAAACATGTCATCATCAGTTCTTGTCTTAAGGTTCTCCAGATCCTTAATACATAAACAGAGGTTTTAGCATGGGCCCTACAAACATTCAACTGGTAGCTTCATAATAAGAACTAAAGGATTTTTGAATCTGTGAAGACCCATCACTTCACTCTGGCTATTTACCAAATTCAGCTGCTTTTTATTGAGTTGTATTACAAAGAAAAAAGTTCAGTTTATTTGGTTCCATTATATCGATTTATCTTTTCCTGCTCAGGACACAGACATACTATAAGCATGTTTCACCGACACAGCTTTTCCCCTCTTTGCAACAGCTGTCATAGTATGAGCTTCCTGAATGACAGTATAAGTGAGTTTATATTTCAATGCAGTAATTTCAAGAAAAGCATCATTGCAGTGATGCAGTTAAATATTCCAGAACAGTACAGTACAACAACAGTTTTACACTGCCTTTAAATTTTACAGCTCTCTCCTTTCTACTTACCTCAGAATGGTTTATTTTCTTTTGTTTATTCCCTTTTCCCATGAGCTTTTCAACAGCAGCTCTCATTCTTGGGGGCTAGTAAGAAATTAGGTCTATGCACGATAAACCTCTCTCTCACACTATTTCGAGAAAAATGCTTTTTTTATCATAACCCGTAGTCCAAATTCAGCTAAACATATACCCAAGCAATTCTGGTGAGTTTGATAAAAGTTCTCTGGTTTCTCAGCCTGTCATCTTCCTGGAGGATGAAGATATTGTTTGTTGTTTAAATCTGCAGTTCATACTAGTAGTGGACTGACAACAATGGAGATTTTTGTTGCTTCAAAGGATAAATACAAAACGAAAAACTGTGGCATAAATCTCCTGTGAGCAGGGGCTGATTTCAGAGTGACAGGAGAGTGCAAGGTTTAGGATGTAGGCTTTGTTTACACCTTGGGCTCTTGGTATGACTTCCCAAAATGCCAACTAGCCTCACTTGATGCTCTTGATGGTTTCTGTAATATAGATAGTCATATGCCAAGACCAAGACCAAGGCCAAATCTGTTTCATAAAAGCTAGAAATCATTACTTAATTAGATTGGATTTTAACTGGTGACTCAGAGGTGAACATTTTCTCCCCTGTTATCAATTCCCTGCACATTACACTCCAAAAGCCTAATATTTTTATTCTGGTTATTTGGGAATACATTTTGCTATCACCTTCAACCTAGGATAAGTGGCAATAAAACTAATGGGATAACTGCCTTTCTATTTAGGGTTATGTGCATGATAGAGGTTTGTGACAAGAATTTAACCTTCTCTCCAGTTTGGATTAGTTTGAGGACATTCCAGTTACCTTGCTTTCTAATTCCCTTCTTATGACATGCTACAAAAATAGGCAATTCCTTTAGGTAGTCTCACTGCCCTGATGTTATAGTTTTCTTTGGAAACTGCAGGTCTTTGTTGTCTTCATTTGACTGTAGTTTGATGCCTGCTGGAAGGAATTCACTTGATCTGCATTTTACTCCCAGAGAAAACATCTCTGATTTTCTAGTCTGATTTCCCCAAATAAAAGATTCCTTCAAAATCACTAAGAAAATAAATAAAGGTTGGCTCTAGAAAATAAAATAGCTTACCGCTATTTAGCAATTTCTACAGTAAACCTACCAATCTTCTTACCTCCTGGCATGCAGGGGCAGCTAATTCTTTGGCTTTCTCTGCTCCAGCCTTTAAAACATTCTGCAAGTAGCATTTATCCTGCTGGAGCCTCTTAATTTCACTTCTAATTGGTGCAAGTTTCTGGATAACTGCCTCTGCCACCATCATTTTGTAGTGGGCGGTGTCAAGACCAACTGATTGGTGTAATACTTCCTTTATGCTGAGTCCTGTTACTGCAGCATGAATAGACACAAGATTGGAGACACCTGGGCGACTGTCTGGATCATAGGTTACTTCTGAGGTGAAGTCAGTCACAGCCTTGCGGAATTTCAGCACTATCTCCTCTGCACTGTCCGTTAAGCTAACTGTGGCTAATTTCTGAGGGTCTGACTTGGACATCTTGGCTGTTGGATCTCTGAGGGACTTTATTTTCTTTGTTGAATCTAGAAACACACACAGATAAGTCTTCCATTAATATTTGTAAGACACTTGAGTTAGGAGTATACCCCAACCTTCAGTACGTCTCTGTTTGCCTTGGCAGTTGCATTTCCCTCATCGCCTTGGTCAAGGATCATTCACCCTTGGTCTTCATACCCACCCCGCAAAGCACCCCAGCCATTTCTTTCTTTTGCTGAAGCTCCATGGTGATTCACTTTTTAAACCATCTCCTCCCTCTAGGGTCTTGACACTGAGAAGAAAGAAACTGAGAAACACAGACCAGACACTAGTGAGGGTCTTCATAACGGTGGGTAAGTAGGTCAAACTATCCTCCAGGTGAGTCCTAAAATGACCAGTCTCCTCACCACAGGAAAACTATTCAACACAAGTAACCCCCAAATTCTCCTAAACCCCTTGGAAACAGCTACTTAAGAGGTTTTGCCTATCCAAAACCTGGCCAAACTCCAAAAGGGGAAATTTTAAAACAAATTATACTAAGGCAATACGTTCTATGGAAATAACTGAAGCATATGAATGTAGGTGAGATAGAAGTAATATAAAATGCTTTACAAGATTCATCTTGTTGTACCAGTCCTATTCTAAAAGTATTATACATGGAGTGCACTTCAAGCTATTGACCTAAATACTAGAATCATTTATTCCGTTTTATAATTAGTCTGTACAGTGAAGAAAAATGACAAGGTAACTCGAGGCATGAACAGCAAACAGCCCAGCTTCTGATATAGTGCATATTCTCAAACTGCTCTTACGATACTGCACAGAACTTTGCAACATACAATATTCTCTGTCCAACACCATGTGGCTAACATCTCATTTGTCACTGGGGCTTGAAAACTTAAAGGAGCGTAATAGCAATACTTTGGCAAAGAATACTCCTTTCTAAGGTGAGAATGCCTTGCTGCTTTAGATCTAGCACCCTCTGCTGCACATTGCCCTAGAGATCACGAACTGCTACAAAGATGCAACAAGTCTTCCTGACCCAACTGTTCATGTTTCCAGCCACTTTCCAAACATTTGTGTTGCAATCAAGCATGCACTGTTTTAGTTAAAAAAATGATACTGAAATTAACACATTAACATTAAAAGTAAATGTTAAAACTTTTGGAAGTTACTTTGCAGCATTGATTACAGCAGGTCTCAACTTTTTCTTCCTGAGCCAGGGCGGCATGATATAAAAACTCCATGGTCCGCTTGTGTCACGACTGTCCTATTCTCCAGCCCTGCCCACACAGCCCCAGGTGCAGCAGGTGGGGCTCAGCAGCAGGGAGACCCAGGGCCCCCACTCACCTAAGCAGAAGCAGTAGTGCAGAGCCTCACTCACCTGCCTTCAGTCACACCTGTAAGGAGGAGCCTGTGGGGCCAGATGGGGTGGGCCCATCCCCACCCCTTCCTTGGGACTTGCCTCAGACCCTCTGAAATCTGCTTGCAACCCATCAGGGGGCCACAGATCTCTGGTTGAGAATCACTAGATTACAATATTTTGCACAAATGGTGTATAATTGTCCTGGTTTTATGCATCTTATTCATAGCTCTTTAAGTGGCAGTGTTAATTGCTATGTAATTGACATCACAGAATCTGTTCTCTCCTCAGGAGAGGTACAGCCCTATAAAAAGCAGAATTGAATGGGCAGTAGCAGAGATGTGCAGGGGACCCAGAACTGGAACAGGAGACACTTTACATATTCCTACACTGGCAGGGGGGTTGCAGAGCCCTGCTTTTATCATTGGGAGTTTTACAGTCTCTCCTCTTTTCAATTTGTCTGTTTTGCCTGTCTGCTCTCGCATATGTTTATCTCCTTTCCCTGGTTTCTGAAATAGATTTTCCTTGCTTCTGAATCAAATTCAACTCATAACACTAGTAAACATGAATAATAATTAGTAGTAATTATTAGTCAGAGGTCTTCTTACTTAAAATAGCTCTGGGCATTGGAAAGAATTTTCCATATTTCTTGTTAAAGTGTTGTGCTATATCTTGAGCCAATTCCAGGTGCAGGACTTGATCTTCTCCAACAGGAACATGTGTTGACCTTTTAATAAAAGACAGATATAGGAAACTCAGTAAAGCTCTCTGGTTCTGTTGAAATGTAACCCAAAGCTGTCACAATTCCTCCATGCTTTATGGCCAGATGGAGCCAAATGTTCAATTTCAGTGAAACCCCTCTTTCTAGAAAAAGATCCAAGCAGATCCTAATCCAATCTGGTTCTACTCTTTCTGGTAGGATGAAATGAATCTTCAGGAGCAAAATAAACAGTCTTTCACAAAGTATAAAAAAGTAAATGGAACATATACCCAATTATAGCAAAAGCAGAGTTATGTTTATTTGTATTTTGCAGACATCCTCACCTTCTGCAGAATTTCTACCACCTGCTTCTTCAGAAAGGACAAGAAAGATGTTAAGTATTGCTCATATACAAAAGGCTCAGTAATTCTCTAACAAACCTGCTGCACATTCAAACTAATGCTGGATAGAAACCAGCTACAGCAGGGGCAGGTAACCCCCAGAACAAATGCCAAAACATGGCACACAAAGGCATTTTGCTTGGCATGTGTGCCTCAGGGCAGATAGCAGGGAAGGGTCTGTACTGCCACAACAAGGATCAGGCCACTCGTGGCTTCCTTGCCACCCGCCCCTGGCATGCCAACATCTTACAAGCTGAGGCTACAGGTGTTTTTGGCACTCTGCCCAAAAATGTTGTTGACCCCTGAACTGTAGAGTTGTTACATATTTTCAAGCACTAATTTAATTTTATATAGTTGAAGAGTCATTTTTATCAAGTGATAGTTACTTTGCATTTGTGGCCGGTCTAAATTTATTGCATGATTCACCAGTTATATATGTAACATGTAGCAGAGGCCTATTTCATTCAAAGTAAAATTAAGTACAGCACAAAATTTCTATACATAAAATGCAATTATACTTAACCCAAAGAAAAGCCTTTGTGGGTGCATCTACATGTGCAATTAATGTGAAGCCATAAAGTGCAGAGCCACTCAAGCCGGAGTAAACGAATTCTGGGTGCAACATCTACATGTGCATTTGAGATAGCAGCAACTTGAGCCAGGGTGGAGCAAGGCCCTGGCTGGCTGGGTTCAATTTACGCCCCTTGTCAGCATCTACATGTGCTTTTCAGTACAGTGAAGTACTTTGCCATAAGATAATACTGTCGGTGACAGTGCTATCTTATGGCAGAGTTTATTAGTTTACTGTGCCTTAATACCAGTGCATAGACAGTGAGGCTTTACTGAAGAGCTAATTAGTCTACTCTGCAGTAATGAGCACATGTAGATGCACCCCATATCTCTTACTCTCAGCCTCTCTTGATCAAAAAGCATGTGCCTATGGTGTATAAAAGAAAAGAAAAAATATATAATGATAAATAGCCATATCACCTCTTTTATCAAACCTCAGGTTACAGTAGGTCAGGCTGGAATGCTATTTGAATAAAATAACAGAAGTATGGATTAAATTAGTACTGATGGATTTGACAGGAAATTGAGGAAGAAAAGTGACTGATGAGTCAATACTGTACCCATGCCCTGGATATGAGTATGGTAACTATTTTTATTCATTCATTTTATTCACTTTTTAAGACCAGAAAAACTCCCCCAAAACCTGATCATGTAGTCTGATTTCTTGTATAAAACATACCAATTCAGCTGGACACTTCTGACCAAGTCCAGTAACTTTTGTGCGACTAAAGTGTATCTTAAAGAAAAACATTTAGCATGATATGAAACATCAAGAGATGACAGATCCACCATGTCTCACGGCATTTCTTTTCCATGATTAAATCATCCTAACTACTAAAACTTCTTGCTTGCCTTCTTTCTTATATGAGGTAGACTGAAATACAGCCAACACTTGATTACCAAAGCCTCAATACCAACTGCACTTTTTGTAAGCACTGGGGTGCATTAAACTGAATCCTGAACAAATTCCAACTCAAGGAAGAACATTCTGTGACAACAAATTCCCAGGCAATTTCAATTCAATATAGTATTCCTTCTGGTCCCAAACTATTGGGCTGACATGCAGGGGTCAATTTACCCACCCTTTCCCCTCACCAAATAGTTAACAGGGCAACCTAAAAACAGCTACAGTAGCCCATAGGAAATCACAACGGCCTATAACTAACACATAAATCAGTTACCATAACCAATATACTTTAAGCAGGTCAAAAGAAATGTTTCCATATGCCAAAATGGTTCCAGATTTGAAGTTACCTGACTAAACAGAAAACCTACTGTGCTTTCATAAATGCCTCTGCATGATTCTTTTCTTTCTTTCCTGCTGTTATTATTAATTAAAAAACCAGATTCCTTGCTTTTATTCCTTTTTCACATACTATTTTCTAAACTTCTGTTCATGTATTTCTTTTCTTTTTTACTTCTTTTTCTGTGGTTCATCTTGATTTATTTAGTTTCTCTCTTCCCCCAGATCTTAATTCTCTGCCATGACTGCTGTTCCTTACCCTACAATCCACTTCCTCCCACATCTCCTTTTCTCTTATCTTTTTTACTATGAAGACGCTGTGTCATTAAGGATATAACCTCTTAATATAGACACTCACACACCTTCTTTTGTCTTTCGGTTCCAGTCACTGTTGATAACATGTTTGGCAATAAGCATAAGTCAAGTTTTGCAGACCAGAACATTATGTGATTTAGTTCTTCTCAAGGCTTACTGAAGTATGATATTTGGTGGTCAAGTCAAGTATCTGAAATTATTTTGAGGATTCTATTATTGTCTATTAACAACTAATACGTAATGGGTCTCACAGTTATGAAGCTATTTCTAATGTTCTTTTTAACTGTACACTATTACTCCTGACTACAGTATGCAAAACTAACAATTTCATCCCTAGATCTGTTGAGATTACTGCTGACACCCCATGAATACTGCATTGTAGATTATTGCCCTAAAATGAAGCCTCGCTATTCCTGGTTCCTTACTCCTGCATACGCACACACGTACCCCCTTAATTTCCTCACAGTACTCTACACGTCCTCAGTTACAATGTGAACCAAAGAATGCTGATTTCCAGTTTCCCAATTTACAGAAGACCTCTATGAACACTGCTATATGACTATGCTGTATTCTGATGGTACTAGGTATCAGACCTCACATCAAAAATTGGGATCTTTGCTAATCTACCAAGAAAGAAAATTAGAACAGGACTGTGTTGTGATCATTATGTTTGTTAAGTGGCCATGTTCGCCAATCAGAAAAGTTATACAAAGTTATGTAACGGTTGCTAGGCAGACTATAGTTGCCTTTCTGCCATGAGTGTAAAAGATAGACAGCAGCTAGAACTTTCTACAAGGCGGGATCCAGCGTCAGTCAGTCAGTGCCACGGGCCTATCGAAAGGTGCCTCACACAATCACATCACCGCGTGTCACCCAAGCTATAAAAGGAGCCCCCGCCTGATCATCAGGGTCCCTTCTGCGTCCAACGGACTCAGAATGACTCACGGCATATTATTACGGACACGACTCGGCCTTCGGAGTAGCTAACCGGAGGAGGACGCAGAGACCCGCCTGATCCCGGCGACCTGAAACCCCTGAGACAACTCACCAGCCAGA